GCGTTGGCCGATGGTGTCAAAGCTAACGTAAAAGGAAGTGTTCCTAATGAAGTTGACTTATATTGAATTGCATCACGCGGATGGATATAGGTTGGGTTGTGTTAAACGAAAAGAAAGAAGAAATCTAAGGATCCAGTTCTGTCATAAATCTAGCATAATGGACAAGACAAAACAAAACAAAAACAAAAACAACGTTAACGACAGTCGCAAATTTAAAAGCTACTTGCGCGAATGATCATCCGAAAAACAGAATTTTCTTTAAAAGAGCCTCGAAAGAGTAGCCACGCCATGCCAAAAGCTATAATAAAGAAAATTTTAAAATCTTTGAATTTATAATATAAAGTCAAAGTAACCGAAAGAACTTTATCAAGAACAAAGTAATTTTTCTTTTCATTTTTCTTTTTCATTCTATCTTTCTTTCATTTATAATTTAATTAAAAGAACCTACTGACATCAGTATTAAGAACCCCAGAGCTGCTGACGCGAAACATTAAACAAAAATAAGCTACAAATAGCAAAACATAATCTTTTTAACTGAAACATTTCCTTTATTCCTTCAGGAAAGATGTTATCAGTACGGCAAGATGATCAAAAAATTGAAGCAAGAGCATTTTGCTCTCAAGCGGACGAGGGAAGTTTTCTATGTAATTGTTAAGTGAATATATATGTCATATCGTGGGCTCTAAATACTTATCTATAGGTCGCTCAATGGAAGCCGTGATTCTAGCTTGCGCATGCACTCTTACATCCAAAAGGCACGAAAAAAAATCGATCGCACTTCGCAATGTTTCTTGGGAATATTTTAAATTCAAGGAAAGCCATTCGACTTGTTGACTTATTCACTGTTGAGAGTTATTGGTTTGGCATGAAAAAAAGTATATTCGTAAATGTAAATTCGTAGGCTTGAGTTTTTCAAAACAGATTTTTTTGATCCTTTTGAGAGTCGGAAACAACACTAGGAAACCATTTGCAAAACCTTTCGTATATTATTTAACATTAAAATGGTTTCTTTGCGTTTCCTTAAAACCAGGATAAAAGTTTAAAACGCTATCTTTTATTAACGGCTTCAATTATGCTGCGCATGCTCAGACAACAAATTTTCAAGTTAATTGTTATCAATTAGAATTTCAGAACAATCCATGCAGAGAAGGATGATTAATAGGATTCTATATTTTCGCATGACCATGTACTACATATAACAACTTAAGTCGCCATAACAAAATCTGCGGTGGGAACTCAAAGTCAGTTTGCTTGTCTCGCGGGAGGTTTTAATCTAGCCACAGTTTCTGAAACATCTGTGGGTCTCTAAGACGAATAGTCGTTAGGTCAGTAAAAAAGGTATTGACCACCAGGACAAAGTCTGCGGTTACTGGTAATTGGTCAATAAACTTTATGTTTTGATTTTAGACGCTACCCCATTTTCTAGAACGTCTCAGTGCGACCTTATTTCTTAGGAGAAACAGTTGCTTTGAGTACAAAATATATATGTTGAATAAATTAGGAAAGAGTTTGTGGTTATCGGCAATTGGTCGTAATAGGATCAAAGAACTTCGTATATTTATCTAAGACATTATCCCAAGCCTTTTGCATTTGATATATCTGTTATTCCACGGACTACACGAAATAGTCCGGGGTAGAAGAACTACCTCAAAGAGAAACCTTTCATTGAATTTTTGAAATATCAAGTCTTCTTTTACAGACTTCTAAATAAAAGAAAGTTTGAAAAAAATCTTTATTCTTTTCATCATTTTATATTTACTAACTATTATATACATTTTGTTTTAAATATTTACTAGAAATTTTATCCTCGGTACCAGGCCACAATTCGACGCGGAGAGGGGCTCAATCTCGTACCCAGAATGCTTTGTCGTCAGCTGGGTCGGTCCGCTGACCAAAGATCCGGAGGATTCTGAGCTCGAAATTGAAAGGGGTTCGGAAAGAAAATGGAGTAAATCTGTCTTGATTTCTTCCGATTTAAATAGGATTAAAATCTTATAAGTCAATATTTATTCTTAACCAACATTCGCAATAATATCGTAATAACTGAGTTATAAAATAGTAATTTAATAATTTATTATTTAAGGAGGAACAAATTCTACTAAATCTCTTTGCACTGGAAAGTTGAATGACACCAAATTAAAGTCGCAGTACAGCCGGCTTAAGAATCCGAATTAAGAACTTCTATAAAACTTGTAGAATTAGATTTGAAAGATTACAGTGTTGGCCTGATTGCTTCTACTGTTGTCATAGGAAAAGACGTTTGGCGTCTATTTTTAGAAAGGCTCATAAACTAAATGGATAAGAGATTAAAGAACTCTCCTGTAAAGTTTTATACAATACGAATAGTCTAGTGCTTTTTTTTATCTCAATATGGAAATGAGACAACGGCATGCAGCGCAAACGTTAAGAATATACGAGGAATTTTGGTACGAGAAGAAAGAATATGGATATTAGTAGCTGAAGTGGGTTTTTTCCTTCCCCGAATTTTAATCTCAGATATTTGCTGACTTTTGTAATAGATTTTACCTTATTTTAATTTACACAGCCCCTAGCTGTGAAAACTGTACTATTGACGGAAGAAAACAGCAATATAGGCAGTATATTGTTTTTGTAATTAATATTATTCACGAAGGGCTTTTGTGACAATAAATAAAATCGAAGTCATTTTTTGGGGGGTCTATTTTAACCAAGACACAGAAAATTTTTTAAAATGAGAATAACTTTGAACTATTAAGAGTTCGAATTTCGAATTGTTATCAATTTTGAAGTATTCACCAATTCCTTTATTATGATCGCTTTCATTATGGGTTGACTACCACCACGCCTTCTCTTGCGTTTTGAATTCTACTCATTGAAATGAAGTGCAAAGTACAATACAAAAAAACGAATAATTGAATAGATTACTAAAACAAAACAAACTAATACCTTTTGCTGAGAAATTAAAAACAGGCTGAGTTTGCGATATCAGGATATGAGTTTTATGCCTAAGGCATAATCTATGGGTTGCAAAGGTGTCTTTAATTACGCGATACCATAATCTGGTATTATCTCCATCTGGCTGTTGAAGGAGATGTCTAAAATGGAAGTGTGAAACTTCTCGATAACACAGCGACGAACGTTGAATAATTTCTTGTTAAAATCATTAAGAAATAAAGATCTACACTGGATAATAAGAACAAACCAGAATGCTTTTAAAAACACAGTTTTTGTGTTGTTTCAAAAGAAACGGGGGGAAAACCTGTAATTTTTTTTGCTGGAATGTTAGATGATTTATTTTCTCGATAACGTACGATTGACAGAGAATCACCTCAACTTATTAAATTGAAAGAAATGATATTTCTTTTGAAAGAGGACAGTGTTCTTTTATTTTGAAGAAAACTCCAGTTTTAATGATCTAATTAATTTGGAAATGTAAATGTGCATAAAAGAGGATTCTTGTATTATTAATTCTGTAGGTAACTTACAATTGTACGAAATTCAAAACCCCGGTTGTAGAATTGCAAAATTTATCTCACCTTTTCCATCATAGCGTCGTCCTCGGTTATATCAAATGCCTTTAAAACGTTGTTTTGTCTGTTTTACAGAAGCCTCTCTTCAATTATTTACTTGAATGTCACTAAAGCCAAATGATCAAACCACCAATCGCGATGAACTTACCCGCCTCTCTGGAGCTCGCCCCAGGGCGTCACGGTTTGAAATCAATTTTCCGACAAAACAAAAATGGAAGTTGACATGCAATCATTATCAAAAGTGACATGTCTATGACGTCATAAATATGCTCCGTTATTTAATGGCTTTAGTGACTTCGGGACTTTCGTCTGCGAATTTAAGTGAAAACATTGAAAATACATGAGGGTTGTCTTGCCAAAAAATATAAAAATAATAAGATGTTTCGTATTAATGGAGTTTATCGAGTTAGGAAGCGAAATATTCATTTATAAGAAGCATGTGGCGTTTGACAAACGCTTAATATGTTTATTCAAACACATTGACGTAAGTATGATTCACTTTTTATCGGTTTTGACCAGATGATAATCTATCTGAATGAATTTAAAAAGTCTTCTATTAATCGCCATTAATTTGTTAATTACATCCAAGATCAAAAGTTTGATATAAAAAAGGAAGGAAAAGAACGGAATATTTGAGAGAATATAAAGAGGATCACTTCAGAATTCTTCGACTGAGAGGAGCTCTTATTTAAATCGTTTGAAAACACCTTAACACTCAGAGAAGTCGGTCCATTTTGTTTATATATTCTGGTCATTAGCGATTAGATAAGATCTGGGCAACACATCCCATTAACAACTATTACACCCCCCCCCGGCTATAGCACCCGATCGAATAGAAGCAAGTCGTCACGAACTTTCTCACAATGATGATGCTTCACGTGAAGCTGGAGATCAGAAGGGCGTAGGCGTACTGCTAAGAGTACGTAATTAGTACTGAAATGATCTTGAGATAACGACTTTTTTCGCAGCAGTTTGTCTAATATTAAATAAGGAAAACCCAAAGGTATTATCTGCCCCACCCCCTCTCACACCCCCCCNCCCGGCCCCTCCCTCTTCCCCGGCCCTCTCCAACGCCAAACTCTTATGTATGAAATTTTAAGTAACAATTTTAGTTATTCCAAGTGCCTAATAAAGCGGTCTCTTTCGTGTTGGAATAGCTTTCGCACCTTAACTTACATATAAGATTTTGTATAAACCTTTATACGTGCAACACACACTGTACCCTCCCTTACTTAATACCCCTCTTTGCCTCAGCCCTCTTAATTTGTAATATTTCATATAACAGGGAGACATATCCATTGTTAGTAAAAATACACAGGTGATTATTGAAAATCTCGCGTGCTGATTGGTCGAGAAACTCACACTATAACACGATAATCACCTCCAGCGATAATCCAAAATGGCGGCCAGCCGCTTTGTTGCTGTTACCAGAAAAAATGTCTTTTATCTTCTTTTTATTCTCTAATCTCTTTTCTTCTCTATATATACTAAAACAATTATTTGCCTCAGCGAATAATTGTTAAATATTGTGTCCCTCCAGCTGTTTCCTTTGTCAGTAGCAATTAGCCCATCAAGATCAGCCTAAATGATGATATATGCAGGCTTTCTGCTTTAGCTTTCTGCGCTTCAGGCAATCATGTAAATCCATTAATTGAGCAAAAACCTTGAATTTTGCCGTTCTTTTAGAAAGCGTTTGACATGCACATGTGAGCTGTTTTTTATGTCTGTGTTCTAGCAAGCGTACAATACGTTTGCGAATGATTTGGAGCATGTATGAAAATACAAACAAAATAGTCAAAAAAGGGAATCGTGATTTTAAAAGATATACGTACTAGATTTATCGAATGGAAAACAAAATGCGCAAAATCTCTAGGAAATAAAAAAAGGGGAAAAACATGAACTAGACATTAATTTTTCAAACGTATCTAAGCCAATGCCAACTTTCTTTGTGCCATATTGAGGTACATGACCTATAAGTTTTTTTGGAACACTAGATCTTAGGTAGCTTTTGCATAAAACCCCGTCTACACTACACTAAGATTTTCCTAGACGAATATCTCTTTTGAAGGATGAGACAAAAGATTTCATATTTCCGAAAATTGCCACAAAAATCGCCAGTGTAAATGGGGCTTTAAATTTCCGGTTACTCATATGTTCCTGTTATCTGTAGCTTCGAATGGACAGTTTTTCACTCAGAGGTGCGATTTATCAGAGCTTTGTTTTGATTGGATGAAACCGATACCCTGTTGTGAGCATGTGCAGTACTACTACTTTGCGTTTGCATATCTTTTGGTCTCCGTCCAGCTAATTCTAATTTCTGATTGGGAAACTAGTAATGGAGCTGCGAAACTGGTCCAAACGAAAAAATAAATCATAATTTGGAAGTTAAAGTAAGTTTTTACAATAACTTGAATTTACCGAACTCTTTCTTTTTCTCGCCAAGGCAAAAAAAAAAAAAAAGTAGGACACTGATAAAGTACGTTGAAGCCTTTTTAACTGGTCATTCCTCAATCATGAGAAACCTCACGTTTTTAGTGGCTTGAACAGATATTACACAAACGAACTCTACGACCGAGGCGCACTTGAGCGAGAGAGCCTAGGCTCCAGCCTAAAAGTACTGATAGTATCCTGGCAATGTAAAGGATAATTATTTAACTATTGTGTTCCAACTTCCGGCTTAACTCTGTAATCTCGTGTCAATACGGAAGCAATTATCTTACGATTTTAGTGCTTTTACTGACATATGGGAATAATATTATAGCAAAAATAGATTTCAAATGGCAATTTTATCCGTAGATCGAGAGACGAGCTACCAAGGCACTTAGTGAATGGCTAGCTATAGGTACTCACTAGAATCATTTGAGTCCTGACAACGCCGCCCGTAAAGATGGTAAGTGACACACTAAAGCAAGACTAACAAAGTTTTAGAATATTTCTATAGTCATTATCCATTAATTATAGATAATTAAAGTAATTATTGTCTTGTTCTCTAGTGATGTCAAGACGACGCCAAGGTTGGTAAAGGTTGGTAAGCTAATTAAGGGTTAAAGATATCTGGATTCAATTAATTCGAAAAGCAATTATCCTTCTTGTCTGTCCAGTTTGTCTTAAACAGGACTAAGCTTTGCTTTGATTTCTTGCAGGATTATCTTGCCGTGTAATATAATATACCGCCCGGATACAATAGAAACATATAATTGCACGCCTTAAGTCAGTCTTAAAATTAAGATTTAAGGTGGCTGCCTACTTTTGAACGTTCGATTTGAGCCCACGATGTGCGCGCGCTCAAAAACCGCTGAAAAATCTACAAGATTTTATTGAAGAGCCATACGCGTTTTGAGCTTCAACAGGGCGAAACCCTCAAATTTTGCACGGGACTCTCTATCTTGTATTAGCTTATTTGAATAAACTCCTAAAGATCTAGGTTATATCAACATTTGAGAAAAAGTTAAATATTCTAACACATGAAAAAATAGATTTTTGTAGGGAATTTTGCTCGACTTTATGAGATTTCAATGTATCTCTTTGTCTTTTTGTCGAAAATAGCAACGTGTTATTGTAGAATGATTGACTAGCATTCATTCGTGCAATCATAGAGTCTGCAAATAACTATTATCTTTAATTTTTTTTCTAATCACTTCCGGTGGCGCAATTTTTGCTCCAAAAGCTCGCGCGTAGACTTCCATTAAATGCTGATTATCTCGAAAACAAGCTCGGGACACCCAATTTTTCTTTCCAGATTTGGAATCAGCATTAAATTGCAATTCGGAAAATCAAAGTTTTAAAAAAAGTTTAATCTTTTTTCCAAAAGTAGGCAGTCACATTGAATCAAATAAACATCGATTTAAAATTTAAAAAACTAACATAAAATAAAGATCAGTTAAAGTTATTCTCGTAGACATTTGACATCATTTGACACAAGTTACATCAGAACATAAGAACGAAAACTCACAGCAAAATGATTACCTTTTAGCAAGATTCACAAACTTGCAAAATCGTCATTCGTGGAAGGAGATCAGCAAAGTAAAAATCCACATTGAAGACTCAACGATTCTGGCCTTTATCGAGAATTTCTGTCGTAAAAATAGAAAGAAACAATAAGTTTTGAGGCAAAACATAAGCGAAAGATGCGGTTTTCTCAGTATTCAAGTTATTCTAGCTAAGTTAGATGCCACTGACGAGTTTAGCCTTTTATGAGTTTTCCACTGAATAATTCACGAAAGTCCAACTTCAACTGCTGACTGTAACTTATACCAGTGAAAATAGTTTCAGTCATTTTCGGCTTAGTTTATATTTCTAATTACCGTGATATTTTGCCGATGTCATTCTTAATACAGCCATTAATAAGATCTTTATCTAAACATTCTGTAAGAATAGTATTAAAAATAGAAATGCTTTGACTTCGCGCCAAAAAAAAATTGGACGCGCGCTGCTTCCACTAGTTTCCCGCGGCTACAGGAATTATGTGACTGCGCAGTGCTGTAGTAGTAGTTGAAAAGTTATACTAATGAATGAAAATCAATGAAAATTTGCTTTATATACATAGTCAAAGTAAGTTTGATTGGAATTTTTCACATGCAAACGGAGTACTATAATTAATATGAAGTAAGTGCCTTTATCGCTATCTACTTTTTCTCGAAAATAGATAAACAGATTTCGAATTCATATCAATTAAAGTACAAATAATAAGCTCTTACAGAATATTGTATGATTTAAAAATAATCGCAAATACTTTCAAACATGCCAAAATTCTGTTTGTTTGCGGCGTTTAGTTTTTTTCTCTTGCGAGCGAAAGGCGCACGGCATTAATTTAATCCCCACTTAAATAAGTTGTTAGATATTAAAGTATTATTTTTCATTTGAGAATATTCTTGTACCATTAAACTGCAATTACTCGGGTCTCAAACAAAATTGACACCTTTATTCATATAATCAACAGAACACATGTTTCCATGTTAATTTACTTCAAATTTTTAGTGATCAGTTTTGTGTCAATTATTATTATTGAGGTCAAACAATTGGTCACTTCCATTAAAAAAATCTTAAATTTATCATTCTGAACATCATCGGGTCAATCATGGCTAGATGAATCTTGTTTCCCGCCGTGATTTGGCCTATTTATAGTTCTCTGGAACCATCTTTATTGACAATAGACTTGATACTGAAAAGGTCTATTCTATGAGTAAGTATTAAGAGGTTTATTTTTTTCTATCGATTATGAAACTAAAGTAGGGCCATTTATGTCGTGCGAACAGTAATGACATTGGAACTGCTTTGATATTGAAAATGTATTTGAGTAGTTTATTATCTTTTATTAAGTATAAAATAGAAGTGCCATTTTTGTCGCAGACATTTAGTGAAATTTGTACAAAGCTCGCCCTCAAGTAACATTGGTTTTGTTTGATCCGCTTCATCAAGGTTACGAGTGACATTTAGATTGTTGAACTTCTTGGACGCTCTTTTCAGTGGAATTTTAGTACGCGACTGAGCTATACACCAAAGGGGCTTGGCAGTTTTGCACTAACGCAGGTAAGTAAAATTAACTACATAACTTAAAATAGAATCCTGTAAGGGGTGTGAGTACGAGACAACCTTGCAGAAGTATACTATAGTCTTCTCGTATCTTCGTACAACGTACTGGGATTGGTTTATATTTTTGCTCTGAAATGGTAATTTGAAGCACTAACAAGTGGGTCGGTATTTAACTCGAGTGTGAATGGAAACGATCAGTTAGCAACACTAACTCAATCTCCAATATTCGTTATTGCCTTACTTACATTTTGCCAGCAAAATAAACCAGGATTATAATCTAGGAAACATCAACAGAAGTTCTAGCTAATCATCACAGAATAAGCTTTTAATTTCTTTCCAATTTAGTTCGCCTAAAAATATCGAAATTAGTTATTTTCCACCTCGTTTTCTCTTGTCGACGTTTTATGAGTGGTTGTGGCTCAGAATAATCTAATTGTTAGACATTAAATAAAATTGCACATCTTAGAAATAATTGCATTTCTTTTTCGACAGTTTGTTCTAGCATGCTTTCATTTTGATTTGTGTACACTTTAAGACGACTGAAAACGAAAAAAATGACAAAAACAAATCATTAAATTGAAGTCATATTGACGTGGGGATTTGATGTCCAAGGTTGAGGTTGTTTTCGAAGTAACGATAAGTTTAGCAATATGTTTCTGCGGTCTAATTAATTTAGTTATGAGTTACAAATTGCCTCGTAGCTTGATGATCGATCCTGACGTTCCTGAAAATTAAAGTAAGAGTTTACAGCTCGCGGAAGGACTCTTTAACCATGGACACTTGATTTTTTTCATTTAAATAATTTAAATGAACTTCCTACAGTTTCAAAACCCTCTAAAATGAAGCATTAAGTTCAAATACACTAAGCAAATCAAAAGAAATCTTATTTCCATTCCCGAATGAACCAATGGATGATTTACAGAATGCGTTTTCTTAAGAAAGTGACAAAAATCTAGATGATTGTTCACGGTCCTAGTGTCCTTACTGTAATAACGCACGTCTTCTCTTGTCGACCCAAAGCCGACCAAAGCTGAATGGTTTCTCATCCCTGTATTTGAAATTTCATTTGCACTGTCAAATATGTCTATTAGTTTTAAGGTTCATCGTTTACTTGTCATATAAATCATCGGAATCACGCTTTTATAAGACCTATTCCAACGATATCCTTACCTTTGTTAACACGAATAAAGGTCTTTCAAGCCCTATAAAGGACTCTAATCCTATCCCTGATTTGCTCTGTGCTGGGGAAAGCCTAAACTAGGAGGTCTCGATAAAGAAAGTACAAAACACCAGACAATTAGTCCATATTTCTTCAATGTTAGGTCTATTATTAACAGCCGGGGTCAGGCGAGTAGCGAAAGAGGAGTGTCCAGATGGATGCGGGAGCTTGTCAAGAATGTTCCGCAGACTATTTTTTGTTAGGAAAGGCCAATTGTGAATGACCTTCCTGATCTAAAACAGTGATCTTATTGTAAGGATTAAAAGAGTTGAACTTCTCTCTTTGTAATACTAAAAACTTGTTTTTCATTCATGCCAGTCATTCACAACGTCCCGAGTTCTTCTGGCTCAACGTTAATTGACGTTTTTCTTAAGATCTTTACCGACTACACTTGAAATTTCTATTATTAAGATCCTAAAGGTTGACCTTATCCCCCTGAATTCAGACTGATTAAATCGCTAGAGACCCAAGAATTGAGGTTTTGCAGCTTGTCTTCTCCAGTTTTTCCCATCATGATGACTCCAGAATAACCCCAGGAAGCCTACGCTTGACTTTTAAGTGACAATATATATATTCATAAATGTAGTTTTTAATTAGTCTTTTTCTTTTGAATTTTAAGATATTAATTTGATAATTTGGCTTACAGTATTTATATATTTTGGTACCATATTTGCTATGACCGCACGGCAGAATAGCCGAGTGTGGTCTATCTGTGGCCAAATAATTACCACAGATGCGGTATTGTTTTTGTCGTCAGTACTTTTCAACGGGACTATAAGGGCTCTTTACGTGAGTATTTCGAGTATTTCGATGTACATGAGTAGCTGAGTAAACACTTTTTGAGTCGGATGCTCTCCAAACAAACGATAAACAAAAAAAGCACTTGATTCAGTCCAAGTTACCAAGACGACAATACGAGGAGTCAAGAGCTACGATACATTTGTAAGTACTTTGAGGCTGAACTCTTTGAAATCGTATCCTGAATTCTAGAGAAAACTACCTATCAAAAAACGTAAAATCCTAAAGAGAGATATATGTAGTAAATACCACTTTTTATACCTTTAAAAAGTTAGTTTTAATTCACCAGTTTTCGTACATTTGTTCATTGGTCAAAGTTGAACGATCCTTTGAAACACCTTAGTTATCATCTATCTTTTCCTTAAAACTTTTCACTTATTGCATATGCCTTTCCTTACTAATCCTTAAGCTTTTGCTCCTTCGTTTATTTTTGCTGCCTTTAACTGAACAGAACAAAAATCCCAGATAGTTATGATATTTTAGACTAAAGTTTCAGTACTAAATTGCAGATCGATTGTCACTCAAAAACTTTAGAACAAAGTAGACTTATCTTCCACCATCAAGAACGAAGAAAACATAAAGCTGTTTGTGGAATTATTAATAATGGTAATTGAACTGAGTGGAGTGCAATTTGGTCTGAAATCAAACGCGCGATTACAAAATCGCACGAC